CAACATGAATGGGTCAAAAGACAATTTTAATTTATTTTGTAGTATGTTGATCACACAGTCAGCAAGTTCGTGTTTGCAACTCCCAGACTCTTCCCCACGTGTCTGGCTCTAATGCCTTTGTGTGGCTTCTACAGTTTGGAAATAGAGTCAGGGCTGATTTGCATAATCATAAAAAGGTGCTGTGCATAAAGAAGAACAGCTTGCAATCCTTTTCACTGCATTTTCTCTGAACAGAGGTGAGGTAAATTTGGTATATCAGCTAGCCCTGGGTGTTTCCAGCTGTTTGTGTCCCTCTGGCCAGCCCATCCAATCCTACAGTCCCCGGGGAAGTTTCTTAGACCCTGGCCCCTCTGTCCAGGTGTTCTCCCTGGGGGAAGTAGGGAAGCCTGATGACTTCCTACCCTCACTCTGTGTGCCAGGAGGCACCATTAGGGATTTCCAGTAAGAGGGGTATCTACAGCATTCTAGGCATGAATGGTGCAAGTGACTCCTGGGACTTTTGCTTTGGAATGTGTCTCCATTTAGGTCTGCAAAGAAAACTGCATGCTGTAGTCTGTGCTCCTGGACTCAGACTAGAACAGAGCACAGAGAGGGAAAATTTGAGCCTAGAAAACTCTGCGGTCATATAGTAAATTGAAAGGAAAAACCAAAGTCTTGACAATCGCCTGCAAACCCCAAGTGAATCTCCCCACTGTTTAGAATTTTGAAGCTCTTATCTACACTTTCTTCCTTTCCTTTCACCTTTCTTTCTTCAGCCATGCTTGTGCGTTGTTGGTTCTCAACTGCAAATATGTTCCCACCTTGACTTTGGGCTCTTTCAACTTGTTCCCTTTGCCCTGAACCCTCTCATCTAAGTATTCTCATGGTTCATCTTTAAAAAAAAAACTTTTTATTGATTCTGTGTGGATTTCACATCATGCATCTGAATCTCACTTATCGCCCCGTCTCCTTTCATCTGCCCTCTGCCCTTCAAACCTCCCTCACAAAATAAAACAAAATTAAAAAAAAACCAAAGCCAACCAAACAAATAACAACAACAACAACCATAGAAGAAGAAGGATGAGAAGGAGAAGAACAATCATCATCTCATGGAAGCTGTGGTATAGCCCAGTGAGTCACAGTTTACCCTTTTGTTCATACATCTTTACATGCAAGTATTCATTGCCATGAGTCATTGGTCTGGTTCAAGGATTCTGGCTTCTGCTGCACTATGGATAATGGGCCCTCACTGAGGCTCCTTTTGGATATCTTGTTGTCCTGTGTTGTGGAGATCCGGTAGCTTTGGATCTGCAGGTCCAGTCCCTTCACAAGCTCCAGCGTGTTTATAGATGAGGTGGTTGTTGTGGTGGGCTAACTCATAGCCCTCCTTCTGGGCCTGGGTGGTAGCTGGGTTGGTCAGCCTACCAGATTTCTCTCATAACCCAGGTGAGCTCTCCAGCACTGCCCAAGCTAGCTCATTTAATGCAGCCTACAGCAAGGGGTGGGGCCAGTTCTCCTGTTCTCAGACCCTCAGGTCCTGCTCACCTACACTCACATCACCAGGGCCAGCTCTACTGTTTTGCCCAGGAGAGGTGCAGGGCCCACTCTCCCAGTTGCTGAAGGGGGCATATGAGGAGGCTGAGTGGAGTCATCTCTCCTGCTATCATGCCCTCAGGGCTGACTCACCTGTGCCCTTGCCATCAACGTTAGCTCTAGTGTGCTGCCCAGGGGAGGTATATGGTCTTCTCTCCCAAGTGCTGTAGCTGGTGAGGGGCAGTACCCACTCTCTCACTCTCAAGACTTCAGGACCAGCTCTCTCACCCGCTACAGGTGGTGAGGGGTGGGGGGATGGGGAGGTTTCTCCTTCACGCATTCCACCATATAGCAGATGAAGGGTGGACCAGATCTCCCATGCACATTCATGGGGCCAGATCATTTGCAGCCCCATCAATAGGGCCAGCCATACTGTGCTGCCTGGGCGAGGTGCAGGGCCATTTCTCCCTAGTTTTGCAGCCATTGAGGGGTGGGACCAACTCTGTGCAACCCTATCCTCACTTCCTTTGATGGATAAAGGAGCTATGGACATTAATACAGACCGTGATTGCAACAGGGCCAGCAACCCAGACATGGCCCTGGACAACACCATGGCCCCAGGGAATAGTGCAGGCCATGTAGATCTCTATGGCTCCAACAGAGGGACAACCCTCAGACACTAGCATGGCTCTTGGTAGTGGCCCACCTGGTGACCACATGGCCCTTGGTGGCAACACGGGCCAAGGACATCAACACAGATTCTGGCTGAGGTTGGACCATAGACCCACATATGGTCCTTGGTAGCAGCCTGATCCAGTAAGATACCATGGCCCCTGGTGACAGTGTATGTTACTCAGGTCTGTATGGGCCTGGCAGCAGCACAGCGCTTGGACACCAACATGGCCACAGGTGGCAGCCCAGATCCTAGGCATCTGTGTGGCCTTTGGTGGCAACACAGACCACAGACATCAACACAGACTCAGGTTGTGGTAGAACCACAGGCCCAGCTTGTCCGGCAACAGCCTGGGCCTGGATGTCATTGTGGCCTTAATTGGCATCACAGGTTACCCAGATCAGTGGCAGTGTGGCCCCCAAATAACAATATGGGCCCAGGTGGCAGCCCAGAACCCTGGTATCCACTCAGCCTTGCATGGTAACAGGAGTCATGGATGTCAACACAGACCCTGTCTGCAGTAGGGCCATGGACCCAGACATGGCCCTCGACTGAAGTTTGATCCAGATGACACTATGGCCCAGGATGTTGGCACATGCCACACAGTTTTATATGGCCCAGGCTGCACGTTGACCCTCAAATGCCAATATGGCCTCAGGTGTTGGCCCAGACTACAGGCCTCTGCATGGCCCTTGGTGGCAACAGGAGCCACAGACATCAACACGGACCCCCACAGCTTTGTCAAGGTCTTAGACCAAGACATGGCCTTCAGCAACAGCCCAGGCTCAGACATTCATCACCTTGGACCCAGGTGGCAAGCAGGCCATTCATATTAGCCCATTCCTCAAAGCCCTTGAATCTTCAGTTCCGCCTGTCTTCCAAGCCCATGAACCATTCTGCCTCTCTCTCTCTCATTTCCCCACCCTGTATTTGCTCAAGATAATGGTGCCCAACCACATGGCACCAGAGGCTCATGGTTGATTTCTGCCCTCACATGCCAAAAGGCATGACACTGAGCTGTGGCTGTCCTCTTCTTGCATGCCCCTGGACCTTGGTTCATCTTTTTGAATCTCCATCCTCTCTGCTCATCGAGGTTGCTTCTGACCTTCTTCTGACTCCACTACTTTCCCTTCCCTACTTCTTTCATTCCTTCCGCACTGGTCACTTACTAGCTTCTTCCTCATGGCTTGTAAAACCTGCTTTTTTCTATACCCCAGTCCCACCTGCTTAGGGGTGGCACCACCCACAGTGGCCTGGGTACTTTCACATCAGTCATTAATCAAGAAAATGCTCCACACACTTACCTATTAGCCAATCTTACAGAGGCATTTTTTCAATTATGGTTCCCTCTTTTTTTTCTGTGATAAAATACCATGATCAAGACAACTTATAGAAGAAAGAGTTCGTTTGCGTTTATGGCTTGAGAAGAATAAGAGTTCTTCACTGCAAGAGGCATTGCAGCAGGAGCAGGATGCTGAGGGACCACATCTTGAACCACAAGCAGGCAACAGAGAGTGTACACTAGGAATGGTGTGACGCTATGCAATCCCAAAGCCTGTCCACAGTGACACACTTCTTTCGACAAGCCTGCACACCTCACAAAGCCTCCCCAAAGAGCTCCATCAACTGAAGAGCTTGAGACTGTGGAGAATAGCTCATTCAAATCACCACATCATTTTATAATCCACGACACATAATGCAGGCTGACCATCATCTGGGTGAAGAGGTATGCATTTGCAACATCAATTGCTGCACACTAAATTTTCTTACCTTGAGCAATGTCCTTGATAATAGACCAACTATCTTGTATTGTTGGTGCCAAATCAATCAACAGTAAGCCTGAAAATCCCCATAGTCCTATTGCATGGGCAATATTGAACCTTGGTATGGAAAAATAGCTCCATAGAACATATATCTTCCTTTTATACAATTTGTTTGTTTGTTTATTTATTTATTTTCGGTTTTTTGAGACAGGGTTGCTCCATGTAGCCCTGGCTGTCCTAGAACTTGTGCTGTAGACAAGGTTGGCCTTGAATTCATAGAGATCCTCCTACCTCTGCCTATTAAGTGCTAGGATTAAAGGGGTGTGCCACCATTGCCCAGCACACATCATCTTAACTATAGCCATAATGGTGGTTTTTTTTTTTTTTTGGACTTCAGTAAGCTAACATGAAGTGGTTCTACATGTTGGTCATCAGATGAATTCATTGCAATTTGTGTCATTGATAAAAACTCCCACCATGCCCCCACTGTTGGTCATTGTCGCCCATGACTGGCAACATCTCCGCCTAGTCATTTCTTCGTGACCCACGCCCCATGATTATGTGGTCATGTAGTCACGCAGAAGTGACCGTGTGATCTCTGCGCATGGGCCTGTGTGCGCAGGTGCATCCTCACCTTTATAAGGTGGCACCATGTTCCCCTAGTCTCTTTCTCACACGTGTCTTTCCATAGGACTGACATCACATCTACCCCTTTCTCTTTGTCTTGAAAAACTCTTGTTAGTGGATTCTGTCATGTGTTGTAACTTTTCCTTTGGGGCAACAGTGCTGTAAAAACCAACATCTGATGCAGTGGCCCAATAGGAGCTTCCATGCACTCTGCACCTGTAAACCTGTAAACTGGGGAGTCTGCTCTGTCTGTGACACCCCACTGTCCATTTGCCTGGCCGCAGGATCCTGCATGCAACACCGCTGCTCCAATTGGTGAGTCCCCTGTTTTTCAGCCAGTGTAAACAGTCTCCTGGATCTGTGGGAATGACTGTTGAGTGTCCAGCATCCTTCCAGTATTCTTAAAACTGGGGGAACTCCTGATCATGGTCTTCACTGGCTACGTTCAGCCCTATCGAAAGCTTGAATTTCTAGCCATCTCCCATGTCTGCAGTTTGAGATATTCCTCTCGGTCAGACCCCTACCTTCAGGTACATCATCAGGCTGTGTAAGGCCAACACATTTTTCTGGCTTGACGAAGCAGAAAATGCTGTCTGGATTCCTGGAGTCTCCTTGCCTTCACAGGTCTTAGGTCCCTGCCTTAAGGTTGACGAGTCATCTGGCAGCTTGTGCCTGGTACAGATCCATCCTTGGCCTTAGGGACACCTGGGGCCTTGGCTCAGGATCACATTTTTTTTTCTGCCTCTCTGCTGCAGACATGGGAAATAAGGCTTCCAATCCCATCAGTCCCACCTCTCCCCTAGGATGCCTTCTTGAAGCTTTAAAACCTCTCACCTTAATGCCTTCCTTAAAGATTCCTCAGCTTGTCCATCTCTGTACTAAGAGATGGCCCAAATATGCCTTAGATAATAACAACAACAACAAAAAATGGCCGCCGAGTGATTCCTTAGATCCTAATAATTTACGGGAATTATCTAACTTCTGCCAGCGAACAGGCAAATGGAAAGAGTTGCCCTATATCATAGCTTTCTTCTATCTAAGTGCTAAACTGTCTCTTCTGGATTCCTTCTCTCCTGCTCATATGCTCTTAGCTATGCCTGAACTGGACGATTCTCTGACTCTGGAATCTCTGGCCCTTGATCCTGCAAATGAACCTCTGCCTATCCGGCTTTCTGTTCCCAAACCTGCCCCCAGGGTACCGGTTCCTCTGGCTTCCCCCTCCTCTTCAGCAGCAGCAGCAGCAGCAGCAGCAGCAGCAGCAGCAGCAGCAGCAGCAGCAATTTCCAAAGGCCCGGCCCTGGCTCCAACCTTTATTCCTCCTGCTACCTGCTGTCAGACTGCTAAAGGGCCTGACCCTAGTCATCCAAACCTGCCAACCATTCTCCCTTTGTGAGAAGTGGCCAGAGTCGCTGGACTGATTAAGGTCCATGTACCATTTACTCTCACAGAACTCTCTCAGATAGAAAAGAAACTGGGTTCTTATTAAACAGTTTCAATATATAACTCAATCTTATAGTCTCATCTTTCATGACATATATATGAAACTTGCAAATAATCAGCTTCCTGAGGAGTGTAGGCAGGTGTGGGAGCAGGCTAGGATGCATGCAGATGAGTTTCACCAAACTAACCCTGCACACCCTCCAGAGGCTGAGGCGGTTCCTGATCAGGATCCACATTGGGATTATAACACCCAGGGCGGTTCTCTTGCCAGAGATAGGTTTATTACCTGTCTCCTCACAGGCCTCCGTAAGGATGCCTTAAAACCAGTAAACTATGAAAAACTAAAACTGATAATTCAAGATAAGTATGAAAGTCTGGGACACCCAGAACCCTTCTATCGCTAGGCACCATCAGCCTATTACTATCCAGTTACAGGACCCTATCAGATACATTACCCAAGCTCAGTACCCTCTCTCACTCCAGAGCCTAAGAGGACTTAAGCCTATCATTTCTGACCTTCTCAGGAAAAAGCTGCTCCGCCCAACCTCTTCACTTTTCAACACCCCCATACTTGCAGTTAAAAAGTCTAATGTAACCTACTGCCTGGTTCAAGACCTCCAGCTCTTTAATTCTGCAGTGGTCCCCCTCCATCCTGTAGTGCCTAACCCTTATACTCTCCTGTTCACTGTCCCTTCAGGAACCTCTCACTTCTCAGTTCTAGACCTCAAGGATGCCTTCTTTTCTATTCCTCTCAGTCCCCAGTCTCAAAATATCTTTGCTTTCACCTGGACCGACCCTGACACTCACCTGTCCACACAGCTGACCTGGACTGTTCTGCCACAAGGACTCAGGGACAGTCCACACCTATTTGGTCAGGCTCTGGCCTCTGACCTGCTTTCTCTGTCTCTCCCTGGCTCTAAACTAATACAGTATGTGGATGACATTTTACTCTGTAGTCCATCCTTACAGGTTAGCCACACTAACACCTCTACTCTCCTAAATTTCTTATCCAGCTGAGGTTAAAGGCTATCCCCTAGGTCACCTATTTGGGACTAACCATTACGCCAACCCACAAGGCTATTACTATAGATAGAAAGCATCAAATTCAGTCTCTTGCAGTCCCTTCTACTAAATAGGAGATTCTGACTTTTCTAGGAATAGCTGGCTTCCTACTGTCTTGGGTTTCATCTTTTCTCTCCTTGCTCACCCCTTATATGAGGCAGCTCAGGGCTCTCCACATGAGCCCCCCTTCACCCCATTACTAAACCTTTCCAGAAGCTCCAACAGGCTCTTCTCCAGGCTCCAGAGCTTCACCTCCCAGACCTAATCCATCCCTTCTCTCTCTATGTAGCAGAGAAGGAGGGATTTGCCCTGGGAACTCTAGGGCATCAGCTGGGACCCTCCTTTGCACCTGTATCATATCTGTCAAAGAAGTTAGACCTTACCAGTCAGGACTGGGCCCCTTGCAGCCTTGCCTTGGCAGCTGCTGAGCTCCTTATTCAGGCATCAAAGAAGCTAACTTTTGGGTCACCTATTACTGCCTTCTCTCACCATAACCTGTCCCATCTCCTAACTTATAAAGGCTTACGAACTTTACCTCCTTCCTGGGTTCTTTCTCTCCAGGTGGCATTACTAGAAGATGCCACACTTACTTTCCAGACCTGTCCACCTCTTAATCCTCTTAATATATCAAGCCTCCTCCCTCAACCTAATGCTAACTATTCTCCTTCTCATTCCTGCACTGAAACCTTGGAGGAACTATTACCCCACCCTTCACACATACAGGAGGGCACATTGCCTCAGGTTACTTATCCCTGGTACACATATGGCAGCTCCTTTTTACATAATGTAAAAAGCCCATAATGTGGGCTATGCCATAGTGTCAGATACTGAGGCAACAGAAGCACAGGCATTACCCACACACACCACTAACCAACAGGCTGAGCTGATAGCTCTCACCCGTGCCTTCCAATTGGCACAGGGACATTATCTAAATGTTTACACAGACTCCAATATGCTTGTCATATCTTCCTGTGCCATGCTGCTATTTGGAGGGAGCGAGGCCTCCTCACAGCAAAAGGGGGATCCATATCTAACTCAGGGCAAATAATGGCCATGCTAAAGGCTTCCCACCTCCCAAAGGCTATAGGAATTGTCCACTGCCAGTCTCATCAGACCAATAGCTCCATCATCTCTAAGGGAAACAACCAGGCTGACCATGCAGCCAGAACAGCGGCCCTCCAGGGCCAAGTCTCACCTCACCCACCACAGGGAATCCATACAATGCAGCTCATACTCTCACAGGGAACCCCTGACACTAGGCAAATTCTTTCCTAGCTACACCAGCTTTTTCACCCTAATAATCTTGCTCTGTCTCAATTTGTAGAAGCTCACCTGCAGCCTACCTCTGAGGACTTACAGTTCTTAAGAACTATTACTGCCTCTTGTGAGATCTGCCAAAAAACAGATCCTAATACCAAGTACAGAAGTCGACCTTTTCCCACCCACCAGTCTGGAGGTTCCCTTCCAGGGACTGACTGGCAGCTTGATTTTACCCATATGACCACCATCAGGAAAATTAAATATCTCCTTGTGATGGTGGACTCATTTTCAAATTGGGTAGAGGCATACCTGGTTTCTAATAAGTGGGCTCAGACAGTTGCAGACCTCCTTGTCCAAGAAATTATTCCTCATTTTGGGATTCCTGTTTCCCTTCAGTCTGACAATGGTCCGGAGTTCACCTCTCAGATTTCCGAGACACTAGCTAAGGCTCTTTACATTCCTTGGCATTTTCATATCCCATACCATCCTCAATCCTCAGGAAAGGTGGAGCATACCAACCAGTCTTTAAAATCTGTTCTTACTAAGATGTCACAGGAACTTCACCTCCACTGGGCAAGATTATTGCCTCTAGCTCTTCTCAGGCTCAGGGATCTTCCTAAAAAGCCTCCTTCAATTTCTCCATTTGAACTAATGTATGGAAGGCCAGTTCTAACACCAGGTCTTCTATCCAACCCTTCAACCATTCCAGATAGCCTGTTAACTCCCCTTTTATGTCACCTAAGGTCTATCCTGTAGAGCTTCACAGACCATTCCTTACCTCAGCCATGTGACAGTCCTTGCCCACCCCCAATCCACATTGGGGATCAGGTTCTTCTTTCTCTTACAGTCCAGTGCCCTTCACCCCTTTTCTCTAAATGTCAGGGACCCTTCAAGGTAATTCTTGTGACCTCTACAGCTGCTGAGCTCAAGGGCTTTCCTCACTGGTTCCATCTGTCTCATTTAAAACTGTTTATCTCACCTCCATCCCAGAAAAATCTCTCTTCATATACAGTGACATGGACAGAGCCTTGTTCTCTCAAGCTCCAGAGGACATCAAGATCCACTTCCTTGTCACCAATTCCAGACAAATGAGGTATCCATTACCCCATAAGCTCTTCCTTTCCTGATTGGGGCCACAGAGAGATGGAGGCAAAAGGACCATCAAAAAATATCCAGGTGGTAAGGAAAAACACAGTAATAATCAAAAGATATTTACATTCCCAGACCCAAAAGTGTCGGGGCTTTGCAAATACAGACTCTAATGTAACAGTCTATCACTGTTGAATGCTCAGCAATTGATCACCTGTGTGTCCTGAATGCTAAACTAATAAAGAAAACAGGTGCCTTAAATAATCTACCTCTAAATAAGCTTGTCTCAGATAAAAAAATTAAGCAGAGTACTAAACATTACTATGGTCACTAATTTTCTCATGGCTGCCTCTTAACATGTTCCCCTGGTCTCTTTCTTGCACGTGTCTTTCCACAGGCCTGGTCACATCTATCCCTTTCTCTTTGTTTTGATAAAACTTTTGTTAGTGGATTCTGTCCTGTGTTGTGACTTTTCCTTTGGGACAAGAGCACCCTAAAAACCAACAGTCATGCCTTAGAGACACAAGCCAGTGCGGGGTACACATAAGTAGCATTTCATTCAGCACAGAGAACCTTAACAACGAAGGCTAATAGGTTTCCTAAATTACAGAAAACCATGTATTTTCCGTCCATCTTGAAGACAGGGAGTATGGGAATCATAATCACCTGTGTTGTGGCATATAAAAGTCCAAGAATGCAATTCCCTCCCACTATCTTGTTTAACTCTGCAACTCTGCAATTCAAATGGTCTGAATAAAAGTCCAATTTATCTCCAAATCCACCAGGCCATATGGGGGCAACATTACCATGCAGATATGCAATGGGACACTTATTAAAACTCCACTTCCCTGTAGGAATGCAGCAATCTCCTTGGAGGTATGGCTACAAAGCAATCAGATCCATAGATCTCTTTGAAAAGGCCTTTGGAGCCAGGCAGTGGTGGCACAAGCTTTTAATCCCAGCACTTTGGAGGCAGAGACAGACTCTGTGAGTTCAAGGCCTGTGTGGTCTACAAAATGAGTTCTAAGAAAGGCTCCAAAGCTACAGAGAAACCCTGTGTCAAAAACTAAAAGGAAAAAAAGGGCCCTTGGCCAGACAAATCCAGAAGATGGTGCCCAATGATTTTTTTATACTACTTTTGAGAGACCCCTACCCCAGTTCCCCCTAAGGCCTGGAGAGCTGAGGAAAGGGACATCTTAAAATAGCCAGAACCAAGTCAGTTCCCCTTTTCCAGATAGGGTAAAGTCAGAAGTTTTAAAAGTACAAAATCAGACTGTCTGGTGGTAGCTAACCACGAGATGCCCCCCTCCCCTGAGATATGACCAAATTTTGGAGATGGGCTGTAAAACTCCTTACAGAGCAAAAAATAAGATAAAAGTCCAAACTCAGGAAAACTGGACCAATCAAGGGTGGACCCATACTAACCCCCTCCTCTCTGAAGAATTTTGTGGTTTTTGCCTTCAAAAGCTAATCTCCCCAAGAAAGAGGAACTCTCCTCACTGCCTCGCTGCTCCGGGCACTGCGGACAGGGGTTCCTTGCTAGCTCGTATTGTGCCAACAAGTAAACCTTGCTGTTGCATTCTGGACATATCTGGTCTCCTGGTGGTCTCTTTGGGGGTCTTTATCTGGGCATAACATCTTTGGGGGCCCGTCTGGGATCTCCAGAAGACCCCGCCGGGAACCCCAAGTTCCAGAGGTTACTTGACTTCTACCGGTAAGAGCACTTTCTTCTGTTTGTGTCTCTGTGTCTCTGTCTTGTTATTTTTGTTTCGTACAGTCGATGGTTGGCTGATTTGTATTTGCAGGCTCTCACTAGGACAGACGTGTCTAGACAGTGATCCTGGAGGGAAAGAGGGACGCCTCCTTCCCCAATTTGGGCAAGGGATCCTCTGGTCCCGAGCCATTTAAGGGCAAGGGACTCTCTGGTCCCGAGCCATTTGAGGCCACCTCAGAGGTGACCATTTGGTTTCAGCAGCCTCTTCCGGGAAGTGATCAGGAGCCTCTCCTGACCATTAAATGACCCGTTAGGACTGTTTTTGGGCATCTCCCTCCACCATAGGAGGAAGTGCCAATTCGTACTTTGTCCCGGGAAATTGTTAAAGTCTTTTTGTGTCTTATTGTGGTTGTGGTTTTGCTGTTCTCTCTTTTCTTTGGTTTTTATCTTCAATTTTCTCACTCTACTATGGGGAATACTCTGTCTTCACCCCTAGACTTAACTCTTGCTCACTGGCAGGATGTTCAAGAGACTGCCAGCAACAACAACGTGATTGTTAAGAAGCGAAGATGGGTTACTTTTTGTTCAGCTGAATGGCCCACTTTCAACGTCAGGTGGCTAGCAGGCGGAACCTTTGATGCAGCGACCATCCACCGAGTGGAGGAAATTGTTTTCCGCCACCGCTCTGGCCACCCTGACCAAGTCCCCTATATTGTTACCTGGAGGGGCCTGATAGACAGGGAGGGGGGACCCCTTCCCTGGGTTAAACCGTTCTTACCCTCACAACAGGTGCCAGGCACTCAGGTCCTGGCCACCAGGCCCAAGAGCTCCCAAGCGGGCCAAGAAATGGAGAGGAGGCCCACTGCTGTGTTTCAGGGGGGGACCCCTGAAACAGAACTCTTTCCACCTCCCTATTCTTCCCCTCCCCAGGTCCATTCTACAGTGCCTATGGAGGAAGCCCAGGAGCCTCAGCCATCGAGAGCCAAGGGGGGGGGGCGGCACAATCCACCCACAGTAGGAGGGGGGAACCCCCCAGCCAGACACCACAGTGGCACTTCCCCTTAGGCCTGCTGGGCCCCCGGACGAGGCAGGGAACCAACCCTTTCACTATTAGCCCTTCGCCACTAGTGACCTGTATAACTGGAAGGCTCAAAATGTGCCATTCTCTTGGGACCCCCAAGACTTAACTAACCTTTTGGAGACAGTTTTATTCACTCACCAGCCCACATAGGATGATGTAAATCAACTATTGGGAGTCCTCTTCACCACGGAGGAGAGAAACTGGATTCTGGAGAATGCTCGGAAGCTAGTTCCAGGACCCACGGGTGCCCCCCTAGTGGATCCTGCCTTGGCAGCGGCTGCTTTCCCATCCACTCGCCCTAACTGGGACTATAATACGGCAGAAGGTAAGGAGAGTCTCTGTGTATACCGACAGGCTCCGTTGGCAGGTCTCAAGGCTGCTGCACGCAAGCCTACTAATATGGCAAAAAAATTTACGATGTAAGGCAGGGGAATGGAGAAAGTCCAGCTGCATATTTAGAGAGGTTGATGGGGGCTTTCAAGCAGTACTCCCCGTACAACCCAGAGTCTGAGGAAGCCCAACAAGCAGTTATTCTAGCCTATGTGAACCAGGCAGCACCAGATATTAGGAAAAAGCTACAGTCGCTAGAAAGACTAGGGGAGAGGAATCTGAGGGACTTAGTGGCTGTGGCGGAAAAGGTTTATAACAAAAGAGAGACAGAGGAACAAAAGAAAGAGAGGAGGGAAAGAAAACGTCGAGAGAGAGAGAGAGAGAGAGAGAGAGAGAGAGAGAGAGAGAGAGAGAGAGAACAGGAGAGATAGGAGACAAGAGAAGAGCCTGACCAAGATACTGGAACAGCAACAGACACAGATGGAGAGAGTGCTCCTGGCTGCAGAAGCAGGAAGCTATGAGAAGGGGAAAAGGCCCCGGCCTAAGCTAGGAAAGAATCAGTGTGCGTACTGCAAGGAAGAAGGACACTGGGCTAGTGAATGCCCTAAAAATAGGAGCAAGAGAGAAACATCAGTGCAACTCGGAAGGAAGCCAACTTCCATCCTTGCCGCCCTGGATGAAGACAGCGACTAGGGAGGACGGGGCTCGGCCCCCCTCCCCGAGCCTAGGGTAACCCTAAGAGTGGAGGGGAAACCTGTCCACTTCATGGTGACACTGGAGCAGAAAGTTCAGTCCTCTTGACATCGGGGGGCGGGGGGGACCCCTGTCAAGAAAACAAACCTGGGTACAGGGAGCAACGGGCACTAAACCTTATCGATGGACTACCCAAAGAACAGTGGACTTGGGAGTGGGACAGGTAACCCACTCATTCCTAGTCATTCCTGAATGCCCATATCCTCTTCTGGGGTGCCATCTGTTGGCTAAAATGAAGGCACAGATCCATTTCACTGATAAGGGTGCTCAAGTCAAACACCCTGATGGGAGGGCTATTGGAGTGTTTTTGACAATGCCTTTGGAGGAAGAATACCACCTCCATGAACAAGAGCGGTCCTCCATCAAATGTGCAGACATGCAGATCCGGCTCCAACAATTCCCCACTGCGTGGGCCAAGACAGGGGGAATGGGGTTGGCCAAACATAGACCCCCAGTCTATGTGGAACTTAAAACCGATGCAGACCCAGTGAAGGTCCGCCAGTACCCCATGACCCTGGAAGCCAAAAAGGGAATCACCCCCCATGTGAGACGACTCCTACAAGAGGGAGTCTTGCAGCCCATTCAGTCTGCATGGAACACACCACTCCTACCAGTTAAAAAGCCACAGACAAATGACTACCGCCTTGTCCAAGACCTTCGAGAAGTTAACAAAAGGGTAATGGACATTCACCCCACTGTGCTCAATCCCTATACTTTATTAAGTATGCTCCTTCCAGATAAAGAATGGTATACTGTTCTAGATTTAAAAGATGCCTTCCTTAGTCTCCCAGTTGCACTGAACAGCCAAGGTTATTTCGCCTTTGAGTGGCATGACCCAGCCATTGGAATAAGTGGGCAACTGACTTGGACGAGACTGCCACAAGGATTCAAGAATTCACCCACCATATTTGATGAGGCTCTCCATGAGGATCTGGGTGAGTACCACTCCCAGCACCCCCATGTCTCTCTTCTACAATATGTAGATGATATACTAATAGCCATTAAGTCAGAGGAGGAGTGCCTTGGTGGAACTGAAGATCTTCTAAGGACACTGGGGACACTGGGCTATCTTGCCTCAGCCAAAAAGGCCCAGATCTGCAGGAAACAGGTAACTTACCTAGGGTATGTGCTGAAAGAGGGAAAGAGATGGCTGTCCGAGGCCAGGAAAGAAATGATGTTAAAAATACCAATGCCGAGGACAGTAAGGCAAGTCAGAGAGTTTCTGGGCTCTACAGGGTTTTGTAGACTGTGGATCCCAGGATATACTGAAATTGCTTGCCCCCTCTATGAGGCCATGAAAGAACAGACTTTGATTTGGAACTCTGAAAGGCAGACTGCCTTTGACACCATTAAGCAAAAATTACTAGAAGCCCCAGCCCTGGGTCTCCCTGACATCAACAAGCCTTTCCTCCTGTATGTAGATGAAAATAGGGGAGTGGCAAAAGGGGTGCTGACCCAGAGCATTGGGCCTTGGAGGAGGCCGGTGGCCTACTTATCTAAGAAATTGGACTCTGTGGCAGCAGGATGGCCCCCGTGCCTACACCTCATTGCTGCCGTGGCCTTGTTAGTTAAAGATGCAGACAAACTCACTTTGGGGAAAAGCCTCGTGGTGGCTACTCCACATGCCCTGGAGTCGGTTCTGAAGCAGCCTCCTGACAGATGGATGAGTAACGCCAGAGTAACTCATTACCAAACTCTACTCCTAAACCGAGGTAGAATAACGTTCCAGGTGCCCACTGTCCTCAATCCAGCCACTATGCTACCTGATCCAGTCCTAGAGGCCCCCCTACACGACTGCAACGAGATTCTCTCCCAAGTGCATTGCATTCGACCAGACCTCCGTGACACACCACTGACAGACGTGGAGGAAACCTGGTTCACAGATGAGAGCAGCTTTGTACGGGATGGACACAGGTATGTGGGGGCTGCAGTCACCACCACCTGGAGGTGGTCTGGGCAGAAGCCCTACCAGCTGGCACCTCAGCCCAGTGGGCCGAACTAATAGCATTGACAAAAGCTTTATGCCTGGGCAAAGACAAAAAGATCAACATCTACACAGATAGTAGGTATGCCTTTGCTACCTTACACATCCATGGGGCAATATACATGGAAAGGGGGCTACTGACTGCTGAGGGAAAGACTATCAAAAATAAACAAGAGATATTAAAATTGTTACAAGCACTTTGGCTCCCAAAGAAGTTAGCAGTGATGCATTGTCCAGGACATCAAAAGGGGACAGATGTGGTTTCAAAAGGAAACAATTTGGCAGATCAAAAAGCAAGGGAGATAGCTACACTTAAGAGCCCTGTAGCCCTACCTGTCCTGACTGACCCAGGCCCTCGTAGCCTACCCTTGCTGCCAAAATATGACTCAGATAAAGAGGCCTGGGCTAGTCAATTAGAAGGAGCATACAAGAAGGATGGCTGGTGGCAATTACCTTCAGGAAAAGTACTGCTACCGAGATTACTAGGAGAGCACGTCCTCATAAGAATCCATCAGACCTCCCACTTGGGGACTCGAAAGCTGAGAGAATTGATCTCTGGGTTCCCACTGAAGATTCGACAGGCCAGCCACCTGATTGACAAAATTGTGATGGAGTGCAAAGCTTGCCAACTGGTAAATGTCCAAAAAGCAAAAGGAGAAAAGGGTACCCGCATGAGAGGGACCCGCCCAGGTACGTACTGGGAAATAGACTTCACAGAGATCAAACCAGGTAAATATGGATATAAATACCTGCTGGTTCTTGTAGATACCTTTCAGGGTGGACTGAAGCCTACCCCCACCAAACATGAGACAGCTCATGTGGTAGCCAAGAAGATACTGGAAGAAATCCTCCCCAGGCTTGGCTTCCCACACATGATCGGGTCAGACAATGGCCCAGCCTTCATCTCGCAGGTAAGTCAGGGAATAGCCACTGCATTGGGGGCTAAGTGGAAACTACACTGTGCTTACAGACCCCAAAGCTCAGGTCAAGTCGAAAGAATGAATTGGACCCTAAAAGAGACCCTAACCAAATTAGCCCTAGAGACTGGCGGTGACTGGGTGACTCTTCTCCCCTTTGCCTTGTTCCGTGTAAGGAACTCCCCTTATCAGCTGGGGATGACACCCTTTAAAATAATGTATGGTCTGCCTCCACCCCTTGTGCCTAGCTTCCAGACAGAGTTGATTCTGCCACCAGAAGAGGTAGACCTTCTTGAGAGCCTAAAAACTCTGACCTGAGTGCAGAAAGACATTTGGCCTCAACTGCAGGCCCTGTACTCATCCTCCTCTCCCCCTGAGCCTCACAGTTTCGAGCCTGGAGACTGGGTCCTGATCCAGAGGCATCAACACAAGTCCCTGGAGCCACGGTGGAAAGGACCCTACCTCATCATCTTGACCACCCCAACGGCTCTCAAGGTGGACGGCATCTCCACTTGGATCCACCACACCCACACCTGACCTGTGGTGCCTGCAGCTGAGGAACATCCAGACGGAACCTGGAGAGTGTCCAAGCATCCTACTGATCCCCTGAAGTTAAAGCTACTACAGTATATGAGACAAAGACTAGGCACCATACAACTCATGGTGCAATGGGGTTATACTCAAGTCAGGACTACCGAGTACTAGTCATATGCAGACCCCGAAGTGAGGACATGGGAATCTCATGAACTAGAACAAGTTAGGGGCCCATGATTGAGCCCCTCTAGGGCCAAGAGAAGGAAGGAATGAGAAACCCCCACCCCAGTTCCCCCTAAGGCCTGGAGAGCTGAGGAAAGGGACATCTTAAAATAGCCAGAACCAAGTCAGTTCCCCATTTCCAGACAGGGTGAAGTCAGAAGTTTTAAAAGTACAAAATCAGACTGTCTGGTGGTAGCTAACCACGAGACGCCCCCCTCCCCTGAGATAATATGACCAAATTTTGGAGATGGGCTGTAAAACTTACAGAGCAAAAAATAAGATAAAAGTCCAAACTCAGGAAAACTGGACCAATCAAGGGTGGACCTATACTAACCCCCTACTCTCTGAAGAATTCTGTGGTTTTTGCCTTCAAAAGCTAATCTCCCCAAGAAAGAGGAACTCTCCTCCCTGCCTCGCTGCTCCGGGCACTGCGGACGGGGGTTCCTTGCTAGCTCGTATTGCGCCAACAAGTAAACCTTGCTATTTCATTCTGGACATATCTGGTCTCCTGGTGGTCTCTTTGGGGGTCCTTATCTGGGCATAACACTTTGAGGGTCAATTTTTGCTATTTTTCTCATTAACCTTCTTTTCTCTCTCAGAAAGTTATTTTTTTTTTCATTTAAGATCCAGGTTGTATCATGGACTGACAGACCTGATCTTAAGTGGTTTGATGAGGCTCAATCAACAATAGAAGCAGCATTTTATAAAAAGGAAAAAAGAACCCTGTAAATCTGATTCTTGCTCAGTGCAATTCCAGTGTAGACTGTTTTTTTCATTTTTAATTATTTATTTTTCTATTATCAGCTTGATACAGACAAATTCTTATCCTAATAGTGAAATGTTTCACTGAGGCTTGCCCAGTGATTGAGTAAAACCAAAAGTTATTACAAGCCACAGTCATCCTAGGGTCCCACCCTGCTATGTAGCCTCCCTGGTTCTGTGGGTTGCATGCTCAACTATGTTCATAGCAGCACTATTCGTAATAGCTAGAACCTGGAAACAACCTAGATGCCTGTCAACTGAAGAATGGATAAAGAAAATGTGGCACATATACACAATGGAGTACTACTCAGCAGAGAAAAATAATGAAAGCATGAAATTTGCAGGCAAATGGATGGAAGTAGAAAATATCATCCTGAAATAACCCAAACCCAGAAGGACAAACATGTTATGTACTCACTCATAAGTGGATACTAGATATAAAGCAAAGAACAATCAGACTGTTCTTACTCCCTCATAGTGTTGTGCCCAAAGTCTGGATCCCCCAAAAAATCACCAAGAGACTGAATCCGATGCAAAAATAGTCTTTAGTAGGAGCTGCCTCAGGCCTCTAGGTCCAACTGAAGCAGCAGCAGAGTAGCAGAAACACCTGGAGCAGCACAGGGCAAAGGTTTTTTTTTTTCATAGAGGCTAGACAAGGGTGTGGGACACTTGGGGGAGTTTCCAGACAGCCTAGCTACAGACCTGGGATTGGCTCACACCCTGGTTAGGAGTACCTGGCTGAGCTGATTGGCTCTCTTGGGTCTAGGGAATTGCAACATTGTAGCTTCAGCACCTGGAGTTGTCTGTCTGCTACTGATTGGTCCTCGCAGGTTGGGGGTAAGGTGTTCCTGGCTCTTGATAGGCCCTTCCTCATGGGGTGAGGTGTTCATGGCTTCTGATTGGCTTTTCCCCATGGGCAGGGTGTTAGCTAGGGCAAAAGGTTAAGAGGCAGTCGCTGCCTCTGATTGGGTCCTCCCTGTGGGGTGAAGAATTCATGGCTCTCTCTGGGTAGTTAGAGAAAAAGGTCAGAGGCATTCAAGAGGTCAGGAGTGGGAGGGCTTCCTGCTCATGCCCCTTTGCTATGCCTGCAATTTGGCTGAGGCCTGGGTCTCTCAGTAGTAGAGCCAAAAGACCACCGGTAGGCTGCAGGAACTCAGGAGCCTCTTTCATGGTGGCCCAGACATGTTTTCCAGTGACATCTCTATGGAATTAACTAGGTACCCATCAACAGAGAAATGAATACAATACAGAAGATGGACCACCATTACTATAAGCCTTGTTTGCTAAACCAAAGCTTCTTCCTTTTCATGCTTGATAGTGTCCTGAGAGGTCTGCTCAAGGGCTGAGTTTCCTCCCCTCTAGGCTCGTGGTACATTCTCCAGAGCAGGCATGTTTGAGGGGTTTCACAGACACACACTGCCCATACCTACTAGAGACAGGCAAGGACAATAGGGAAAACAGCAAACAGACCCAAAACCTTGGGAAGGAAAAAGGTGAGGAGGAAGTTGTAGTGGGTCGTTGTTCCAGCTTTACCTGGAAGTACTACCCCCAGTGAGGCTTCAGGTAACTGTGACACTTACCTATGACCTGCTTCTGAGGCAGGGCGGAGATGGGAGCCCTTAAGACCCGAGACTCTGATGTGTCGGCTCTTCTGGTTCCTGGTGATCCTGGATGCTGGATGGTAGACTGCACCTTACCTCTCCCAGATCCTGTAACCAACCCCTTTATCGGCTGTAAGTTACCCACCAAAACAAACCTCCTTTTTAACTACATGGAGTTGCCTTAATAAATCCCCACAATAGGAGGTTTCTTGGAAATTAAAGATTTGCAAAAAATGGAATGCACTATGCATGTTCAGGACATATGCACAGAAAACACGCTAGAGGGACCTAGGTTTCTGCCACAGACAGGTGTGTGAGCTTTGTCCAAATATGAAATGAAATACTTGGCTGATAGATTTGAATAAACAAAGAGAGGTGAGACTCAGATGTCAATATAGAAATATATTGCAAATAGAATGTCCTTTGCATTTAGTAACTGAAATAGAACAAAAGATGTCCTAGTATTAGGTAAAGTATGTAACTAACATATTACAAGAGACAAAGAAAGACATTACCATTGATTAAATTGTAGATTAGTATATAAGGTTAATGCAACACATGAAATACCTCCACCCCTGTCCCAGTGAAAATTCACTCTAAACACTCAGGAAATAGGAAAAAAACCTCTTTATTAGCACTCTTCCAGTTCTGCCTAATACCCAAAGAGAAACAAGCCTTCAAGAGAAAAAAATTTCAGTTTAAAAGGAAGCCTTAGGCTTAAGCATTTCATATATGTAGTCACCTTTAAATCTCTTTCAGGTCACACTTTGAGCAATTTAAACAGAGACAGGAGACCATTTGGACAAATGAGAGAGATTTACACAGCAAAAACATGGTTGTGATTACTTTTTAAAAACTTTTTTTATTGATTCTTTGTGGATTTCACATCATGCAACCTGATCCCATTCATTGCCCTGTCCCTTTGCCTCCTCCCTCTGCCCTTGCAATCCCCCTCCCTCCAAAATCTCATCAGGGAAGCTATAGTGTGACACAGTGAGTCACACTGTAAACGCTTTAGTCCGTGCATCTTTACTTGCAAGTATTCATTGCAATGAGTCATTGGTCTGGTTTGAGGCCTCTGGTTTCTGCTACACTATCTATGCTGGGCCCTCACTGGGAATCCTCTTGGATATCCTGATGTTGCCCTGTGTCATGGAGATCCTGTAGCTTTGGGTCTGAAGGTCTAGCCACTTCACATGCTACAGCAGTTCATAGATGGGGTGGATGTTGGAGAGAGGCAACTCATAGGCCTGATTCTGAGCTTGGGTGGTTGCAGTCAGTCAGCCTATCAGCTGTCCCTCACCCTCACCAGCGCAGCAAGCTCTCCAGCACTGCCCCCTGCTAGCTCACCCAATGCAGCAGGCAGCAAGGGGCTAGGCCAGTTCTCCTGTTCTCACATCCTTGGGGCCTGGTCACCCAAACCCACACCACCAGGGCCAGCAATCCCACTCTCATGTCTTTGGGACAGCTCTCCTGCATGTTGCAGGCAGCAAGGGGAGACAGGGGAGAGGGCATCTTTTCTTCATTCACTCCACGACATGGAAGATTAGGGAGTGGCCAGCTCATCTGCATCTGGCCAAGAGGGTTAGGTCTACTATGCTCCCCAGAGGAGGTGCAGGGTCTGCTCTCCCAAATGTTGCAGCCAGTGAAGGGCAGGGCTAGCTCTCCTGCCTGTAGCAGGTGGCAAGAAGTGAGGGGCAGGGGGTGGGCATCACTCCCTCACCCACATACTGCATGACAGGCAAGTATGGCCAGCTCTCCCACACTCATGACCTTGGAGCCAGACGCAGCCACCCCGATCCCCACCAAATGGTGTCGCTATTACTTTTTAAGTACACCAGTGTTGTTCTCTTCAAATAATTGTTACCAGGGTCATCATGCAACCTGGTAGAATTATGCCTTCCCGATAAGAGAACCCGGACCTGATAGATGGCAGACCAGGACTTAATGATAGCTGTTATTGGTGCCACCCACTTAAGACATGTTCTTTGATGTGTGAATGGGTCTGGTAGCTAGTTGTAAATGAGGGTTATCCCTGTTTTGTCATGGGAAATGGAGTCTAACTGGAGGAGTCTTGGTGAACACATATTAACAGAAACAAATGAGGCGGAGGGTTGAGACAGGGTTTCTCTGTGTATTAGCCCTGACTGTCCTGGAACTCACACTTTAGACCAGGGTGGCCTCATACTCACAGAGATCTGCCTGTCTGTACCTGGAATTAAAGGCATGCACCACCATGGCCAGCTAATGGAAACATTTTTTAGATGTACAAAATTTTCTTTCCTACAGTTTCTAACAAGTCTAATCAATATACTACTCAACCTTGAGTTATATTAGAGGCAGTGCTCCTTTACCTGAATAAATAAGAATTTTACTGTGTGTAACTGAGTATTTCCTAAGCAAGTTTATTAGTAGATCCTTCATAACAGTGGTTCTCAACCTTCCTAATGCTGCAATCCTTTAGTACAGTTACTCATGTTGTGGTGACCCCCAACCATAGAATTATTTCATTGTTATTGCATAACTATAATTTTGCTACTGTTATGAATTGTAATGTAAATAACTGCAGGATATCTGATATGTGACCCCCCCAAAGGGCTTATGATCCACAGGTTGAGAACCACTGCTTTATAACATTAATTTTTCACTCCTAATTTCTCCCATATCAAGGTAACAATCATAAATATATATGCAGCAAAAAACACAATGCCAAATCATATGTAATAATCTGACAAAATTGAAAAGAATGTAGTTTTAGAATAATAGTTGGGAACTTCAATTCTTATTTCAACAACACAACATGTATAAAGAAGATCAGTAAAGAAGTAGACAAGCCAAACAACATTATAAAACCAGACATAATAGATAGACATATACAGAAGTCCACTCACTGACAGCAGACTATGTATATGATGGTTAGAATGAGAATGGCTTCATAGGCTCATGTATTTGAATGCTTGATCCCCAGTTGGTGGAACTGTTTGGGAAGGATTAGGTAGTGTGTCCTTGTTGGAGGAGGTGTGTCACTGGGGTCAAGCTTTGAGGTTTTAAAAGTGCACAACATTTTCAGTTAGCTCATTTTACTTCTTCCTTGTGGATCAAGATATAAGCTTTCAGAGACTGCTCCAGTGC